GACTCATATGATAACTGGTGCACGAGCTTGGGACCAGAACTTACACCTGAAGTTAGTGCAGAATATTACTAATGTTTTTCATCGTACTGACTGTTGGGTGTGTGCACAGTTGCCTAAATCAGGAGAAAGCCTGGATCTCCCATTAATTGGAGTTCCAATTAAGGGGGCATGCACCTTAGGTGCTGTAATACCCAATTTTACTATTATCAACAGGTATCCTTCTGGGACCTGGATTAGAAGTTTTGCTAAACGGGTTAAGAGAGGGTTTAACCCTATTATTGAATGGCACACTGCATTTCATAGTTTTGTAAGAGGGCTAATTCCATCTTTGGGAGTAAGTGAATCAGAGAAGGCAATTGTAAATATCTCAGCAACCATAGAGGAAATGGAAAGTAAAACCATTGATATAATTCAGGCAGAACAAGAAGAGATAACCAGCCTGTCTAAAGTGGTATTACAAAACTGAATAGCTCTAGACATGTTACTGGCAGGACAAGGAGGGGTTTCTTCCATAATCAATGAAAGTTGTTGTTCCTATACAGACTAAAGTGGCAGAATCGAAACAGATCTGGAGGAAATTTGGAAACAAACTAAGATATTTCATGAAATGGCCATGGATGACACCTCCGGGGGTTTTGAAGAAATATGGAAAAATTTAACTTCATGGTTACCTGATCTCTCCTGGTTGAGGCAACTGGTTGCAGGAATATTGATGTTATTTGGTTTAATATTGATTACTTGTGGTATGATACAACGTTCCCTCTGGTCTTGTAAATGGTCTATGATAAATTATGAAGATTGGCAAAGGAACGAAATTAAGCACCAAGTAGAAACGGGAAATTATTTCAAAAAGTCTTTAGACGGTAATGGTAATATAAAAAATGTTGCAAAAGAATTTGCAAAAGGACAGAAAAAGGGGGAATTTGAGACAAGGAGGAGGGGGCAAAACATTACAAAATAAAATATATATACCTTTAGAATCAGTTTTAAGTAATGTTGTTTGATGGCTTTGTAACAGTAGCAATGGAAAATTACTGAGGTGCATGACACACAGAAAAAAAACAGAGCGCGGCTAGAGAACAGGCTGAGAATTCTTTCTCATGTAAGATAAACCATTACAGCTGACGTAGTTTTAGGCCCTTATGACCTTAGTACAAAATGAGTTAAGAAAAACAGGCTAGAAGAACAGGACACAGGGATAAGGGGTATCTGGGAATGGCAGGTGTCCAGGATGGGCTGCAGTTAAACTAATTGATAAGTAGAAGGACAGGAGGATTGTTATGTCTGTGGTGTACCCCTTGGGTACAGCAGCCTTGAGGGAGACCGTGCCAAGAGCTGTGCTGAAGCTGAGGGAAACCACATCCACTCTTTGCCTCCTCACGCACAACTGCAGGCTCTCAGCTTGGCCAGGCAGCAGTTACCCTTCGGACGGCTTTTAGGTGCCCAGAGGTGTCACCCAAGAGGACTCTGATGCTGGCACACGCCTCACCAAAGGCAGCTTGTACAGCCTGGGCTCCCCTGGGTTGTCCTTGGAACCTCTATCAAAGGTAACTGCAACATGTCCGTGTTCTCCCTCCCAAGAGACCTCTGCCAATCCAATGGCCTTTCACAAGGGGGATGCCAAAGGAATGCCGATCTTCCCCTGTAACTGCACTGCCACTGTCCTGCCTGTTACACCGCGTCCTTCATTCCTCTCATATTTCGTAGATTTTCCTTTCAAGTAACCCTTTCAAATAACTTCGATCAGATGCCCTTTGTAATCTTCCTGCACTCGGAAACGTCCCCAGTTCTCTGGAAGACAATCTGGAAGACTTGACAAAAACTTCACGGTGAGACAAGGCTCATCAGGGTTTAATGAGCCCCACGGTGTATTTGGGCTGAGTCCTTGAACCTCAGGGGCTGAGAGGAGACTGAGGAAACCTCTCAAGAAGTCCAAGTCAGAAACAAAGCCCCAAGTGTGTGCAGCATTAATGGGCCCCACTGAGGGCTGCTGCTGACAAAGCCTCCCCAGGGACTCGTTAAAGCAAGTAACTGGAGGCTGTGATTAGAGGGAGACAAAGGCAAAGTGCAGGTGTCTGATGGTGAGAAAACCCTTGGTTTGTTTGATGATGCAGAAAGGCCAAGCCCTGACCACAGCACTTGGAGAAGCAGAGCCTGAAATCTTGAGAATGAAAGGTCTCCTGGTAGGTCTTGATGAAAGAGGCAACTGCCATAGCCCAGAACACAGAGGCCTTTTGTTCTTTTGGGCCTTTCAGCCATGGCAGAGCCCTGTCATCTCTGCTGCAGGCTGTCCTACACTGGCCCATGCCTGCACCTCTTTCCCTTCAGGCTGTTGACACCCATCTTGCTTTCCCAGCTAGCTCTCACCTGGCATTTCTGTACCTTCAGTCCCATCTCTGCACCCATGGCTGTCTGTTCCTTGAAACACAAAGCCATGGGCTGAGCCAGACTGGGTCTGGGTGACCTCTTGCACCACAAGTCCACCTTTTGAGAGACATTTCTCTTTCCTAACTGTCCTGGGTTCAGCAGTAGCAGTAATTTTTCTCCTTCTTGGTAGCTGGCGCAGTGCTGTGTTTTGACTTCCCGCCAGGGAACAGTGCTGATGATACCGATGTTTTTGGTTGTTGCTAAGTGATGTTTACCCTGACCAAGGACTTTGTGAGCCTCGTACTCTGCCAGGGAGGAGGGGAAGCCATGAGGAAGCAGAGACGGGGTGCCTGACCCAGGCTAGCCAAAGAGGTATTCCATACCACAGCACGTCATGAATGGGGGGGGGGGGAACTGAGAGTTACCCGGAAGGGCTAGGATTGCAGGGTTGGAGGAGGTATCGGTCAGTGCTTGGTTGGGCTGGGGGGGGGGCGAGTTATCGGTTGGCTGGTGGTGAGGTGATGTATTCTCTTCCCTTGCTATTTCCTTTATCATTGTTATTATTGGTGGTAGCAGCAGTGATTTTTGTTATACCTTAGTTTCTAAACTGTTCTTATCTCAACCCGTGGGAGTTGCATTCTTTTTGTTTCTCCTCTCCGTCCCTCTGGGAGTAGGGGGAGGGAAAGAAGGGGGGGAGTGAGTGAACGAGTTACCTGACTGGGTTTAAACCATGACACTAACTTTAAGTCTGAACCTTCCAAGCTGCACTTTGTAGACGTTTCCTTCTCTTCCTCCTAGCAAGAAAACCTCCATCATCTCTGCAGCCACATTTCAAGTACTTACAGGCTGCTACTACAGTGTCAATTCAAGAGATTCATTGAACATCCCTCAAAGAGCTGATCTAAAGGAGGCTTCTAGGGGAATGGGTGATGCCATCAGTATAGAGAACTAAGCACCATGAGAGAGCAGTGGGAAAAGGCAATGGTCTGGATTGAGAACTTCTTGGCAAGAGCCAAAAGGAAAGGTGGTGTCCTTGGGTGCAAGGTACCCCATGCTCTGGGGACAGGGCACCTCATCTGGGACAGCTTCCTGCCTGTAGCACCCTCTCTATTGCACATACTCCACTCCCTGCCTGCACTCACAAGTGTCTCACAGAAGCTTTGCACCTCCCCTGCAGCAATGACACCTCACTGCAGGAGGTTCCTGCATTCCCCAGGCTCAGGGATGGATCCTGCATTCCAGGCAAGTTTGGGTAGTGCAGGAGAGGGAGACAGGAAGGTGGGCTCATGGGGCATGATGAGCAGCGTTCAGGCACCCCCAGCCGTGGGCATTCCCCATGTGCCACACGGAGGCATGTTCCCATGAGGGAAAGTTCTCAGATAGCCTCTGGTTTGTCCAGGGCCTGCAGCCGCAGTCCAGGAACACCTACTCCTCCTCCACCTACAGACACCAACTGCTCCCCATTGCTGGGCTCCGTCCTTCTTGTAAGCATTTGTTAAAGCCCTGAACCATCACCTTGCTTCTTGCTGACTTCCCTCCACCCTCTCTCACCTCCCTACACACTGCTCATTGCCACCAGTAACTAACTGAAGAGTAAAGAAGCTCTCAAGGCTTTCCTCAGGGGCTGACCATGTTTCTCCATTCACCGTTGATGGATGCATTGAGTGCCAGGGGTGAGGTTCCTGCAGAGGCAGAGATGCCCCTGGGCAGAGCCGTGCTGCCGGGAGGGGTGTGCAGGGCAGAGCTGAGCACACAGCCCATGGCATGGGCTCTGGGAGCACTGAGAGGGAGCAGAGGTGGGCACAGAGCAGCAGCTCCTGGCAGGGACAGCTCCAGGCAGCAGAGATATGGATGGGCAGGGAGTGGGGGGAAAGTGCAGCCCAGCCCTGGGGAGGGTGCGTTCAGGCAGCTCTCTTGGTGTCTGGCACTGGAGGTGACTGCTGGCCATGATCTGCTGCACACAGCCCTTTGCTTCTCCCCATGAGAGCTCTGTGATCTGCTCTTTGAAACCGTGCTCCCCTGCTTTCAGCACAGGACAGGTGTTTGTGTGGGTTCTTAAGATCAATTTGTGTGTGAAGGAATCATACACAAGTGTAAGCAGAGGGCAAATGGGAAAGGACTGATGGACACTGCAGCACTCCTTGCTCTGCACTAAGCTACAAGGAGCTGAGAAATCCCGGTTTCAATATTGTTCTCATTTTCTGTCATACAAAGAATGTTTTATAGCCCCCCCCCGTGTCCCCTGCTCTCCTGCCCAGGACACCCTGAGAACTCTGCAGCCCCCCCATGCCATCCCATCTCCCCACACCAGCACAACAGCCCCGGCCCTTGGGCTCCCCAAGAGCTCTTCCTGCTCCAGGCACAGAGCAGCCATCCCAGAGCTGGTGCAGCCAGAAAGCTGCTTTCATTCCCCTTCATTCCTGCCATGTGAGGACATATCACAGAGAAGTTGCTGCAGGATCATTTATTTCCCTTAAATACAATCAGAGACTGGAGTGACACAAAGTCTGTGGGTCACACAACACGAGTGGCAACTTAATTAGGAGATGAAAACTGACATTTCTATGAAGACAACATAATCACAAATTGAAATAGGAAAACAAATGTAAAGCAGGAAAGACAGACATGGCCTGTCATGACCTACACTGGAAGCCCTTTCCAGGGTAAAGCAAGCAGCGTATATCTGCTGAAACATATCTGGTCACCAGCTTCCTCACAGCATCCTTGAGATCCTGGTTCCTAAATCTGTAGATGAGGGGGTTCACTGCTGGAGGCACCACCGAGTACAGCACTGACACCACCAGATCCAGGGATGAGGAGGAGATGGAGGGGGGTTTCAGGTAGGCAAAGACAGAAGTGTTGACAAAGAGGGAAAGCACAGCCAGGTGAGGGAGGCACGTGGAAAAGGCTTTGTGGCGTCCCTGCTCAGAGGGCATCCTCAGCACGGCCCTGAAGATCTGCACATAGGACCCCACAATGAAAACAAAACAGCCAACAGCAATCAGGACACCAACCACAAGAAGCCCAACTTCCCTGAGGTAGGAGTGTGAGCAGGAGAGCTTGAGGATGTGGGGGATTTCACAGAAGAACTTCTCCACAGCATTGCCTCGGCACAGGGGCAGTGAAAATGTATTGGCTGTGTGCAGCAGAGCATTGAGAAACCCAGTGCCCCACGCAGCTGCTGTCAGGTGGACACAAGCTCTGCTGCCCAGGAGGGTCCCATAGTGCAGGGGCTTGCAGATGGCCACGTAGCGGTCGTAGGACATGACAGTGAGGAGAAAATACTCTGCTGAGATGAAAAAGGCAAAGAAAAAGAGCTGTGCAGCACAACCTGTGTAGGAGATGGCCCTGGTGTCCCAGAGGGAATTGGCCATGGATTTGGGGACAGTGGTGGAGATGCAGCCCAGGTCCAGCAGGGAGAGGTTGAGGAGGAAGAAGTACCTGGGGGTGTGGAGGCGCTGGTCGCAGGCTGTGCTGGTGATGATGAGGCCGTTGCCCAGGAGCGCAGCCAGGGAGATGCCCAGGAAGAGCCAGAAGTGGCAGAGCTGCAGCTCCCGCGTGTGTGCGAATGGCAGGAGGAGGAACTGGGTGATGGAGCTGGCGTTGGACATCTGCTGCCTCTGGGCATGGGGCACCGTCAGAGGAGAAAAAGGCAGTGACAGGTTAGGACAGGAGGGATGTCAGATACAGAAGTTCAGTTTACACATTCACAACGGAGCACATTGTAGCAGGAGAGGAGAGGTTCTGTGTCATCGCCAGTGATGTCATTACACTGCTGAGGCTTCTTCCTAGGTACAATCAGAAGAGCATTGCATCAGGCAAAAAGTCTCAGTTCTTTGCAGAACCAAGAGAGCTGCAGTGTCCATCAGTCCTCTCCCAATTGCCCTGTGCTCAAACTTGCACTGCCTGTAAGGTGCCTTCACACACAAATTAATCTTAAGAACTCCCACAAACATCAGTCCTGTGCTGAGACCAGGGGAGAAGGGTTTCAAAGGGCAGATCACAGAGCTCTCATGGGGAGAAGCAAAGAGCTGTGTGCAGCAGAGCACGGCCAGCAGCCACCTCCAGTTCCAGACCCCAAGAGAGCTGCCTGAACGCACCCTCCCCAGGGCTGGGCTGCACTTTCCCTGCACTCCCTGCCCATGTCTCTGCTGCCCGGAGCTGTCCCTGCCAGGAGCTGCTGCTCTGTGCACACCTCTGCTCCCTCTCAGTGCTCCCAGAGCCCATGCCATGGGCTGTGTGCTCAGCTCTGCCCTGCACATCCCTGCCTGTGCAGGGGCTCAGGAGCAGCTCACACAAGCCCTCACAAGACTCTCGGTGCCTCCCCCAAAGCAGAGAAGTAAATTCCCAGCTCCCACTGCCCAACCTGCCCACCAAGAGGGAAAACCATCAAAGCTCAGAATCCTTCCCTATCAGGTAAATGATGCCTCAGTGTCTTTCAGAAGGACCCTCTGAAGAAGTGCTCAGAGTGACGGCAGATTGGAGCAGCGTCACCCACCCAGCACTTCACTTCCCTGTCAGGAGTTTCTCCTTTCCCCACAGCTCCCACGAGCTCCATGGGGAGCTCCCGGGCAGGCTGAGTGCTGACCCTGGCAGGCAGCAGAGTCCCTGCCCCTGCACACAGCCTTTGGGCTGCAGGGACCCTGTTGCAAGGGCAGCGCTGGGCACCCCTGGCTGCACACCCACATTCACACCCTGCAGCCAGCCCCGGCACAAGGGACCTGCCTTGTCCTGTCCCTGCATGGTGCAGGGGGAAGCCCTGCTCTGCAGCACGTCCTCCACCTTATCTACAGAGAGAAACTGCAGCTGCATTGCCCTGCACCCAGTGCCTTACCACAAACAGGGCTGGGAAGGTTTCTCCTTCAGAAGGTTCCTCCTCCTCCTCCTCAGCATCCTCCACTGCCAAGTGCCTTTAAGCTCCCTGTGTCTCGCAGGTCTCCCCTCGGTCCCAGCTTAGCAGCAGAGGCCCAGCCCAAGGTGGCTCTGCCTCTGCCCCACTGGGCTCCTTCCAGGGCTCCCTGGGGCTCCAGGGAAACACCATGGGAAACAGCCCGAAGCAAGCGCTGATCTTCCCTCCCTCAGCTGGGAGGCACACTGCCTTCCTGCAGTGCCAGTTCTCTGATGATACAAAGATTTAAGGCTAAATATCTTCGTTTCTTACAATCAATCAACTAATTTGAAAATGGCCCTTTGAGAACATCGAGTCCAACCATTAACCTGTCTCTGGGAAGTCCACACACTGAGCATGAGAACACCTCTGGTAGGATACCACAGAAACTGAGGCTTTAAAGCTGAATTTTACATCCTACCTTAATTTCACTAATTTATATCCTATCCTGTTTGTTGTTAAACATTCTGCTATACATTAGAGCATAGAAATCAGCTGGACAAGTTATGTTGATGCAGAAACTTGTCCATGTATATAATCGTACTTAAACCCATTTAAGAAATTCTTAACAACTGAGTAAAGCAACCAAACATTGCCCTCAATTTATAACTGGAATTCAGTACTACTATGTTTGTTGGCACAGCGGCAAGAAGCGAGCACACCTCTCTGACGACCCTAGAACTTTTAGTCCCAAGAGAGAGATTTTTTGAGCTCTAACCCCTAACCCTAACCCTAACCCTCTCCTAGACCGCAGTGTGCTGTGGGCAGCATCTCCCTCATAGTGAGACATCTCTGATAGCCCCCTAACCTCTCCAGTTTAGCTAATAGGGGGATCATCTGGCTGGGCCGATCCTGCTGCTCACTGACACTCAGCCCTTCGCCCGCTGAGGAGTGCTTCCAGAGCTGCTGTGAGTATTGTGCTCTGCTTTTACTTTTCACTTCACCAAGGGCAGCTTCAGCATAGGGATGCATCTAGATCTGTGCACAGCCATCTAGCTCCATCTCAGTGTGTTGTGTTAGGTTGGATATTTAATTGCAAGTGCGTGTATATTAGCTTCAGTGATCAAGTGCTGTTAGAAATCCTGTGATTGAGTTTACAAATGCAAACTGCTGCTAGCTGGCATTTGTGATCCTTTAGATGAATACTAGGCCTGAGACTAAGATGGAATCCAGCTGCACGCAGACTGCTCTCGGAGAGGGAGCTTAGAAAGCAAAGAGATCCAATCTGAACCTCGTGACTCAACAAGAGGGTCTCCCTTATTCCTTTCTGTTTGCAGTTTCTATACACATGATTTCAGTTCAATGCTGTGTAAATCACTTGAATCCAGTCCTGGATAAATCCTTGCCAAGTCTGACACAATCTCTTTTTGTAGATGGTGGAGTGGGGCCTCACCACCAAATCCTGAGGAATCCTGCTTTTAGAAATTCACATTAAAATCACTTTTGCTGGTATCTGTGGAAGTGATTCTTTCAGCAACCCTAAACAGTTTCAGAACAGGCATGGGGGACTTCTCTGGGAAACACATTCCAGTGTCTCACCACCCACACCGGAAAGAATTTCTTCAGAGAACAGAGTTTCTGTTTCACTGCAGAGAAAGGAGGCAGGAGAGAAGGGGTGGGGAGCACACACCCCAGCCCCGACTCCGCACAGGGCAGCGAGGGGTGCTGCTCTTCACTACAGCACAGCTGGGCTGAACTGAGTCAGTGCTTACACAGAAACCTGTCCTTGTCCCTGATGAAGCTCTACAGGCCACAGGCTTCTCCACAAGTACCAGCCCAGCTGTTTTTCTCGTCATGTCTTGCACAGTGTCACAAGCTGTGGCACAAGGGGAGGCCCTTGTTGCTGTTTCTCCTGGAACACAGGGAAGTAGAAAATGAAATACTTTTTTTAATAATGAAACCCATTACAGTGACCACAGAAAATATGGAACAAGATGCTAGAGCCCTACAGGTTTTCCCAGGAAGAGCTACAATGAACTAAAAATTCCCTCCTGCGCTGTTTCCTTTCCCAGCCCATGGATACTTTCCTCAGTAAGTGGCAAGTGCACATGACACAGCAAGAGATCTGTGTCAAGCAAGGCCAAGCAAGGCAAGGCAATGCAAGACAAAGGAAGGCAAAGCAAGGGAAGGCAATGCAAGGCTAGGGAAGGCAAGGCAACGCAAGGCAAGAAATGGCAAGGCAAGGCAAGGACAGGCAAGGCCATGACAGGACAGGCCAGGCCAGGCAAGGTAAGGAAATGCAAGGGAAGGCAAGGCAATGCAAGGCCAGGCAAGGCAATGCTAGGCAAGGCAAGGCATGTCCAGGCCAGGCTAGGCCAGGAAAGGCGAGGCAAGTCAAGGCAAGGCAAGGGAAGGACAGGCCAGGCCATGCCAGGCAAGGCAAGGCATGGCAAGGCAAGGCAAGGCTAGGCAAGGCAAGGCAAGGCATGGCAAGGGAAGGGAAAGGAAGATATGGCAAGACAAGTCAAGGCAAGGAAAGGCAAGGCATGGCAAAGGAAGGAATAGCATGGCGAGGCGATGCGAGGCAATGGAAGGCAAGGCATGGCAAGGCAAGGGAAAGAAATTCATGGTGAGTTGAGGTGAGGCGAGGCAAAGCCAGGGCAACAGAAATAAAGACATAGTGAGGGAAGGCAAGGCAAGGGAAGGCAAGGCAAGGGAAGGCAAGGCAAGGGAAGGCAAGGCAAGGGAAGGCAAGGGAAGGCAAGGGAAGGCAAGGCAAGGAGAGGGAAGGAAAGGGAAGGGAAGGGAAGGGAAGGGAAGGGAAGGGAAGGGAAGGGAAGGGAAGGGAAGGAAAGGAAAGGAAAGGAAAGGAAAGGAAAGGAAAGGAAAGGAAAGGAAAGGAAAGGAAAGGAAAGGAAAGGAAAGGAAAGGAAAGGAAAGGAAAGGAAAGGAAAGGAAAGGAAAGAGGAAAGGAAAGGAAAGGAAAGGAAAGGAAAGGAAAGGAAAGGAAAGGAAAGGAAAGGAAAGGAAAGGAAAGGAAAGGAAAGGAAAGGAAAGGAAAGGAAAGGAAAGGAAAGGAAAGGAAAGGAAAGGAAAGGAAAGGAAAGGAAAGGAAAGGAAAGGAAAGGAAAGGAAAGGAAAGGAAAGGGAAGGCATGATGAGGCAAGGGGAGGCAAGGCAATGCAAGGCAAGGCAAGGGAAGGCAAGACAAGGCCATTAAAGGTCAGGAAAGGCAAGAAGAGGTAAGGTGAGGCGAGGCAAGGCAAGGGAAGGAAAGGAAAGAAAAGGCAAGGCAAGGCATGGCAATGGAAGGCAAGGCAAGGAAAGGGAAGGCAAGGCAAGGCAAGGTAAGGCAGTGCAAGGCAAGGCAAGGCAAGGCAATGCCAGGCAAGGCCAGGCATG